TATATTTTTCGAAAATTTCGAAAAATATAGAATAAAAATTTCGCTTTATTTTATTTTTTTAATTTCGGCCAGTTTGCGATAATTGTGGCTTATTACCCGAATTTAAATACATTTGAAACTGAATTATCGAAAATTTTTGAGACATTATAGACCAAGACAAAATTTCTTACCTTCATCCGTCCAATATCAACAGCATGAATGCCTAGTTCATGACTTAATTTCCTCTTTGCGGCTCGACGAATTCCAACATTATTTTCATCAGTGCTCATTTCATTTTCATTCCATAAAGGATGACTACAGCAAGCATTCGTCCACACCAATGGAAATGTAATTTTTTGAGCAGCTCGTCTTTGCAAAATTAACTCCCGATTTTTCGTAAATAGAAATATACTAAATGCACGATGCAAACTCACTGAAAATAAGTTGCACTCGAATGTGGACGTTGCTTCAACTTCTCAAAATGAAATAAATTTAGTCCTTAACATATCATCTTGATAAAAATCTTATGCATTTATTAGGCAAATTATTCTAATTTTCCCAGACACAAAACATATCCGAAATTATTTCTGAATGATAAAAAAAAATGATAGCAACTACATACATGTTTCAACTGAATGACAATAGCGTTTCGAACCGGAACGCAAGGGCTTATCATTTTCATCGACAATGATACACTGTTCATCAAGATAATTATTTTGCACATTCACTACCGCAGGTTTAAATAAATTGTATCCCTTTTGTCTGAAAAACAAGACCACAAGTTCAGAAACTCGTAGTTTGGAACATGATGAAAGAGAGGAATATACAATCACAAATTGGTAAATTGTTCAATCCTCCCAAAAACCAAACACAAATTAATGAATCCAGAGTTAGAAACATATCTGCAATTCAAATAACTTCACAGACATAATGCAAATAAATTCCTCATTTTCTTATGGAGATTAACTGCATGTAAAATTACAAATTGTTGCATATGATGTAATGAAAAGAACATTACCTTATAATTTTGGCAGCTGAAGGCATTGATTCATAAATCCAAGCCTGGTGAAGCAAAAAATGCACTGCCAAATTCCTGGATTCTTAACTTGAGGAAATGTGGACAATAACTCCTATATGATTAACGTTAAAGTTGCAATCAAATTCTGTGCTTACGGTGCTCAAAACTGGATTACAAACTTATTCTGGAACACGGTTTCATTAAGTTTTCGAACACATTAGTGATGCATCAAAAATAATGACTGCATATTTTAGAAAATTACTTAAATTATATTTGAGACTATCCACTTTTCAATTCACATGCAATTTATAATGAATGTCAGATTAAATATCTGTCCAACAAATCAATAACGACGCACAAAAGCACATCTCTCTAATCACGAGGTCCATCAAAACTCTACCTTAATAGTCAGACTCACATTTTAACAAGCCAATGCAATGGGAATAAAATCAGGAAACATTCAATGAAAATAACTTGAAAAATATTAATTAAAAATAACAGTTGTAATGTTAACTCCTCAAAAAATATACCCATGTTTTGATAATTACATGTTTTAATAGATATTTGATGGAAATGTTGGACAAGCATTGATTACATATTTATTTTTAGAAACCATCAAAAATAATGAGAGAAAAGCAGTAGATAAATATCAATATTTGAAAATTTCGTCACTATACGAGCTGAAGCGGCTGTTCCTTTCGATGTTCTTGTAAACACGGAAGTGAGCAAAAACAATTATTACAATATTCAAAAGGTTGCGAATCCAATACTACGCCACACTAAAATAATGCAATCATTAAAATGCTTGAATTTTTAAACTGAAAAAACCTGAAAAAACTAACTGTATTTAACTGAACTTTGATCAACTCCGTAAATTTTATGTCAGATCAAAAATATTCATTTAAAACATTACGAATATCTTTTTCTACTAGACTGGTTTGAAAATATATTCTAACCTTGAAACAACGATTACCATCATTTTCAACAATTTGACAAGATTTTTGTAATGAGACAGCAAGTCGTCGTTCTGCAACAAGAGCTCTTTTTTGACTATCAGGAAGTGCTAGATAAATCTGACGTTGTTCCTGAAATAGACATGATAATTTTTCCACAAAGAACAGATGGAAACTTCTTCAAGCAGTAAATTTACCTGTTCTTTTTTCTCTAAATACTTGGCTGCTTTCTTGGCTTTATTCCGCTGTTTCTTTTTTTCTCGCTGAATCTTTTTTTTTTCTTCTTCTCTTGCTAACTGTTCTTGTGTATAAATAACTAATTCTGGTATCTGACTCATATTCCAATCAAAAGCATCAGGGTGCTCTGACCGAAATTTCATGAAAACTTGGCGAACTGTTTTACTCTGAGCTACCTGCAAATAACTGACTCTTCATTTTTAAAATGTACAAATATAAATACAACATACTTGAAAAAAGTGACATCTCAGCGAATTTATTGTTACAACATACTTGAAAAGGAACTTTTCCCTCGCCATCTTTTAATGCTGGATCACATCTTAGTAGTAATAGCTCCTGAAAATAATAATGAAATTTGTTGTTTCACAACTGAAAATAGTATTAACGTAATTTTATTAGATTTATAGTTTTTTAATTTTACTGAGGAATTTTTGTTTTCATAAAATGAGCAAGTATAACTCTTTTGCACTTACTTCTAGTATCTCCACGGTACCTCTTATTGAAGCAATGTGTAGAAAAGTAGACTCTGCTGGTGGAAACCTTATTTCACGAATGTATTTTAAAAAATCATCTATTCTGTCCTTATTCATTTCCAATAATTGGCGTAATTTCGGAACAGAATTTAAACGAATAGCACAATATACTGCTTGTGCATCTACTTTATCCAAAATCACATTACCTCCACAGCTTTTTTCCCCTTGCTTAGAAACAGTTTTCTCCTGAAATACAGAATGTAAAATTGAAAATTAATAAGTTCGCTATAATAGATATTTATCAAAGAAAATTTTCAATCTCAACTGACAAATTTGCTGAATACCAAAAGAATGAACGAAAACATTCTAAAACCCTCAGAAGTGAATTGTATAATCAGCTTGCAAATACTTGAAATACTTATAAAACATATTTAAGTTTCTTGTGCTTAAAGAATTACGATTGACTGAGCAAGACACTATGAAACTCCACACCAAAATTTTCTTCATACTACTACAAACTAACATCCTTCCAAGAGGTAGGAAAACATCAATGAAAAATGTACAATTAGTTTGTCATTGACCACTTCAATGCGCTGCGAATTATTTCTCTGATTTCTAAAATTATCATCTACATCCGATTCGGAGAATTCGTCAGAGAGATGGCTTGACCTTTGTGATATCTTTTTCCGAAAGATACGTCTCTGTTTCTTCCTTAATTTTATTCGTCTTTCTAAGTCATTATTAAAATCATCCAGAGAACCATGGAAGCGAACAATTTCTACAAAGAAAATAGAAAGTGATCTGAAAACTGTTTAAAATGTTCCATAAACATACTGTTTTGTTCCTTTGCATAGGTCTGAATTAAATTTATTACATGAAGTATTTTTAGAATGAGAGATAAAGCTTTTTATAACACACTGTACAATAAAAGCAGAGAAGTTTACAAAACATACTCAACCTTGACCATGTTCGCTGTAACTCTTCTACTGTTGGTCGACGCGTTTCGAATGGAATCGTTCTCATCCGCTTATCCATTTTATCCAATAGTTCTGCACCTTTCGTTGCTTCGAAAAAAATGTGTCTAAATGCGGGACAATTACAGCAACAAGGTAATGCCATGAGTAAAAACTATATTCACTGCTAATGAGAAATTAGCTGTACACTTTCTGAGAGAAATGATCTAGTACGGAGAGATAAAAAGGTAGAAAATAAAAGAAAATAATAATGATACCGTTGCAAAGTTGAACAGCGCAAAAAAATTAATGCAGTTTCTTCCAATAATTTCGACCAACTTGCTAATAAGCGCTGAATTTCATTCTTCAAAGCTTTTTCATTATACCTGACAATAATAAAGAAGTATTCAATCAGAAATTGTGAAATTTTATTCTGTAAATTATATATAAATTATTTATACCCAAAACAAAACTTGATTTTTATCTATATACTCTTGTTTGTCAGTTGAAAGATAATACTCAAAACTAAATTTTGAATATAAAATCACCATAAATAATGTATAACTTTGACCAGTCATATTTCAGATTAAGATTTAACAACCTATGTTGAAAGGATAACTCATATGACAAGTTATAATATTTCCGTTCCATACTAATTTCTTTAAACCAGTAAAATATAATACCCATGGTTCAATATCGACCCAGAAATAAAGTAAACGTTTTAAATGCCCACTTTCTCATGAGCGCTCCAGCACTTTTAGCCGCGCGTCCACGATTATCGGACAGAGACTGTGTTGTTCCCTGTTTTGCTCGAACGACATATCGGTGGAAACTCTTTTGTATTATTAGCTGGTTACTAAAACAAAACAACCTGTATCAAAATTCTAATATTTGATATAAAATGAAACTTGCTAATAAACAATATTTTGCGATAAAAACAAGTAAAAAAATCAACGAATCATAGTAAAATTCTTTCCAATAGAAGAAAAATTATGTATATAATCTTTCATAAAATTTTTTTGATAATTTCTGATCAATTCGGCATATTTAAACTTGTATTGTTATAGTTGGAAAAACTTTTCAACTATAACATAAAAAACTCAAAAATTTTCCAAATTGAAACAATGCGTGCCCGTATCTTATTAAAACTAATATCAATCAGCACATGAAGATTTTTAAATCAAAGTCACACAAACTTTCTGAAAATGCCCCCACAAAAATGACCTCCGGAGAGCATCAAAATCGCACAATTCAGTGGGCGTGAGAACAAGTCTGCCGATACCATCTCACTTTCCTTTAAGATACATCGGTATATAGAGTATACCATTCCGTCGCATATAAAATAAGAATGAGACCCACTAGAAAATGGCAGAACTTCATTGTCACTTTCCGTATCCAAGGAACTGACTTCATCTGTAATAAATTTCAATAAAGTTTGGCGGCCTTAATCTCTTTATATAACTCAAAATTTAAGAAAATATTTAGTGGTTTATACATTATCTGATAAATCAAAGAAACTGAATGGTGGGAACTAAGCATTAAAAGCTTCAAGATAACCATTTAATACAATTATAATTATTATTCTGCTCCAAAACATTGCAATATAATTCTAACTGCATTGTAATTTGTGATAAAACTGATACTAACTATCATTTGATATGTTTTGTTCTAATTCCTCCTCAGTTAATAGTGGACGACCCTGCATGATTCGTCGAAGATTATGTCGATGCCAATCGCATTTATAATGTGATATGAAATCATTACGATCCCTTCCAACAGGCGCCCTACACACGGTACATACGAAACCTGAAAATCAGTGGCTTTATTATACGATAACAACAGTAAATAATTCAGCAACTAGTGTGTGATAATAAACTGTAATTTCTATAACTTTGAGAACGTCACTGCCTCTTCATTTAATGAATATGAGAGAAAACTAGCTCTACCAGACAAGATCATATGAATTTGTTTCCGGAACCTCAGATCTCACGTTCTCAAAGTTACAGAAATAAATGAATGAAATAAATCGCATCAAATGACTTTCCGGACTCGTGTTCATTGAAGCATGAATCGACCGAATGTGTCTCATCTGAATCATTCACAAAATTATATGGTTCCACCACTACATTTATCCAGCGTGGGTCAGCAATCGAACATGAAAATTTTGTTGCAGCAGAAGTCATATCAACATATCAGACATCAGTAAAATGAGATAAACAAAACCTGAAATACATACAATGGTAAAAAAATATCCATTTAAAATGAACACTCGTAATTTACACCCATACTTGACATAAAGCATTAGAGACAAAACATGTTACGGCTAAGAGAATATTCTTAGGTAATGACAGTTATCCTGTCATACAACCTGAGAAATTCACTACATTACACCTATCAAGTTTTAGTGACGGTCCAATACCATGTTTTATTTCCACACGATAAGTGACTAAAATATATAAGAAGCAAGTGGAAGCATATGTAGTAACTAATTTTGAGAAAATAATTGATAGAAAAATGCCTTAATCGCTAATTCAAACTCAAGTTCTGCAAGAAGCCTTGATTACACTTCACAATAGTAAAAACAAATGAGATGCGGTATTTTGATTAATTAGATACAAAACTGATGCAGCTCACAATTTGAAACTAACCGTAACAATGCCAATGCTGAACTCTGAATACGTAACCTTTCAGATACTTGTAGTCAGGGGCACTTTTCGAAACTTTATATTTGATTTCGCTACAATTATATTCCATTTTTATAATTTTGTTTAATTTTATATATTTGATCATTACTGTTCAATGTTGTTGCTGACAAATATCAATGAATATTTAAGTAATTCATTTTACTGGTTAAACCTATTAATGGTACTTACTGCATTTTCGAAAAGTATTGACTACAAAAATACCTTTAAATCACTACAGTTACAAACTATAATGACAAAAATAAATTTCAAGATTTAAAGATG